TGCTCATACTGACCTACACAGATTTCAGTCAAGGTTGTCATAAAGTTTAAATGAGTGTGGGATTAAGGCCTCACTGTCAGTCAGCATGTTACAATAGACAAGTCAACAAGTGTGTGTATATATAGCACAAAATCACAAAGTTGCCCCACAGAGCAAGTTGTACAATATACGACATCCTCTGTTTAGGCATTGAATTCAGTTAAGGAACTTCACTACAAAATAAATAAAGTAAAATAAATGATCAGTTCTTATACATTTGCTTAGGTCTGTGCAGGTAATGACATTAGAATTATAAAAAATATATAATGACAAACCTTTAAGCCTACTGAAACTGCACCCATGTGTAAGAGTTGACAGGCTTCTTAGCAGCTCTGCGAGGCTGTACTTAAACACAGCAATGCTTTGACCTTAATGCTAACTTTAGCCTGCTAACATCCATAAAATAAAAATGTTGCTGGTGTTAAATCTCTGTTCAAAGCTGACAGGAATGTCAGCTTTAAAATAATTGTCCTGTATGAATTCAATTAAAACAAAAGAGGACCTCAGCCACTGGTGTTTGAAGAGGAATGAGGAATTCATCCAACAGTTATCAAGACATTTCACAAGCTAAATTTAAAGACAGCCACTGGTGCTGGAGGAGAAATTAGCTGATCACTGTAACCAAGAGTGACCCTTAGTTTTCTGGGGACCATGAATGTGAAGATAGTTCAGCTTTGATCAAAAGTGGTCAATGAACTGTCTGACAGATCACCGGTCTGACAGACCACGAGCATGGGTACAAAAATGTAAACTATTGCAACAAAATGGAAATTTAATTTAATGTAAAGTTTGTTGTCTGATAAAAAGGTGCCACATTATGGGTTTTAACTGTCTTTACCATAGTTGCAAATTTGTCATATCAAGACTTTTTTATAATTATCCAAAGAGGGACTTTTAAACTAATTTGCTATATGTTTTATAGCACCAGTTACATTCAAAGATTTTGGAAATGTAAAGAATTTCTCGATTCCCTTTCACTGTTTCACAATTTAATGAGAACATATAAGAACATAATTGCTATATTCAAAACTCCTGTCTCCATGTGATCATATGATCTGGTTCACTGCAACCTCTAACCTCAGTTGGAGGTGTTTGTGCTTTAACATGCATCAGCTCTGTCAGGGGTCACAGCTGTTCCCTACATAGGAGGTTGCGAGGGGTCACAAGCCTGACTACAGACAACCAGGAGACAAGTTGTGTCAAGTGTAGTTTGACATAATTAGCACAAGAATTCTTGAAAATACATTTTATGAGGTGACGCTGACCTTGACCTTTCACATCCTTACTGTAAGCAGATCCTTCTCCAATGTTCAAGTTTGTACCAAATTTGAACAAATTCCCAAAAGGCAGATGGATGGACAGACATATAACCAAAAAACATATTTCCCCAGACACGACTGTTGCTGGCACAGAGGCATAAAAATAGGCTCAGCCAGATATAAGAGGAGCACTTTGCACTTTGAAAAGTGCAAGTCATGTTTTGGAATAGGAGGCTTTCTTTCTTATTTGCCTTTTAAAAAATACAAAAAAAGGACAACATTTGTATCTCGTTATCTTTGCACATTAAAGAAATGTGTTTTTCTTTTGTACATTCAATTTAATGATTTTAATTTTAATGGTGTCACACTAAGTTTGTAATTCGCACACAATGCTGATGTGTGATTCTTTGAGGGAACCTATAAGACATGCACTGGACATGAGAGGGTAAGAAAAGACCCTGCTGACCTTTTCTTTCCATGGAAGTGGCTCGAGTGGCTCGGATCTGATGTCAGAATAGAAGGCACGTGTGCAGCACCAATAGAGCGCCAGAGGAGAAGGCCTTTACGGTGGGCCAGTAGCCAGACACCATCAGTTGGTGGTGACAAGTCTATTTTGGGACTTGTAGAGGTCTCACACTTTGAGGCGGGAGTTGACTCCAAAATCAGAAAAGTGTTCAGACACTTACCCAAAGTTGTATTACACCTTTATCTGCTTCAAATGATCACATCATGCCCCGATCCGCGGCTGACTGCGGCAATGTTTGCTCAAATCTGAACATAATATAGATGTGCACATGCAAATACTCTTCATAGAATCTGCAAATGATCATTTGTTCAGTTACTAGCACCAACTCAAACCTGCATTCAACTGCTGTAAATGACTAAGCAGTTTGAGAAGCAGAAACACATCATTTTCATGGCCCTGTCTGCTGATAAAGTACCTCTTTGACATATTTAATGTTTGCATGACTGAACAGACTGGGTCTCATCCCGAGCAAGGGTCAGTGTGGCATGTTTGAAGTTCACTGAACGCTTTGTGCATAAAAAACAGTGCATGAAATCAGATTGATATGCAGCCCAGAGAGCAAAGGCACCATGCACAGTGATGCAAATCACCTCAAATAAGACATATTAGCAGATCAGCATGTCTATTTTGCATCCTATTTGTATATTTCTGTATAAATAAGCTCCTGCATGTTGTTTTGTACGACCTCCTATCTAATGGGTTGAATAATTAATTGCCTCAGAACCAACCTAATATGACACTAGCACACTTATTTAAACCCAAACTTTCAGATACAGGCATGCACAAACACAATCAGCTTGTACCTGCTATACTACCGCCTCTGTTTCAGTCTCAGGCAAAGTGCTGCATGTCACTGATAAAACATTTGTTTTGTAATACAGAGGAATGCTTTTCTCTCACTGGGAACCTGAGAATCCTTTTGTTCCTCCTGTGAAAACTCCTCCCAGTCTTTAATCCTAATCACCAACTTTACCTGCACATCTAAAGATAAAAAACGTAATGAGGCATGTTTCTGCTATACAGGTGGATTACACACTGGCATGTCGTGGGGCATCTCCTGCCAGACTGACGAGTTGTTCAAGAACAATCATGTGAAAGGAATTGCTTTATTAAAGTAGTGATGATTGAGGTTCATAATTACCAAATATGCTGTCTGCTGAGGAAATGATAATGATAATAATAATAATAGTAATAATTTAATGTAGTTCAGACTGTCAGACAGGCCTGACAATGTGATAAAAGTTTGTTTCAGATCACAGTGTCTTTACAAATTGCAGCATGATGAATGATAGTATGTAGTCCAGCTGTCCAGGACAACAGATTTATGGCCTACTGCTCCACTGCAACCCCTAAAGCGGATAAGTGCCTCACTTGCTTGGACCTGACTCACTTCGTTTGACTGTTGCTATGGTGAAAGAGAAAAAGAAAACAGTTTTCCGCCAGTATTTGGATGTGTAATAGTGTGTGTGTGTGTGTGTGTGTGTGTGTGTGGTTTCAAACTGCAGGGGAATGCATCTTTTCATTGCTGCCCATTCACCGCAACTATAATTTCGCAACTAGATCACCGTGTTCCAGCACAGTGCCGTCTGCTTACTCTACTCTTCAGTCCTTTGTCTTTCCAGTTATACCAGTGAACATGTGTTCCTCTGCTCTATCTATCTGACAATGGTCAGTTTTGCTGTCACTGGACTGGCTGTGACAGGACACTCTCACTGACACAGAGAGACAAACGGGAGACAGATGTACAGGAGAGGGAAGTGATCTCGGGATAGTAATCTGATATCATGTTCCTGAGAGGACAGAAAAGGTTAGCTATAATGCACAGTTCTTTATATAGTTGTGCAAAAGAGATTCTCAGTTCACGTCTAAATCGAGGAACGGAGCCCTAATGTTAGCCGTCTGAAGCACCAACACATGTTTAGGGAGCTTTACAGCCTGTTGCATCACTATAATGAACTGCAATGAGAAACACTGATTAAAATACGGTGCCTCCTTCTCCGGGTGGCCTGGAGACCCTCCAAACAAACAGATATGAATAGAATAAAACATGTTTTTTTCTATTAAATTCACTCAGCATGGGTCATATCAAACTCGCAGTGTTTGAATTGCAGTGTCATGACAGTTTTGTCTTTTCTCCTCCCGTCTATAAAAAGATTTGTAAAATGTCTCGGTCTATTAAAGGTGACCCAAATACATTTGCAGTGATGTATATACTTTCTCTTCAAATGTCACCAGCCTTGACTCTACACATTTAAAGAGTGTGTGAAACGACTACTGAAAACCACACCTCATGAGTAGAGTAAAAGCTCTTCAGTGATATACGATCGAGTAATGTGTAATACTAGACACCTTGTACTCAACAGCCTACATAGACTCACAGTGAGCTGCACTAGTGTAAGATAGATGTATGAGCCGACTAGTTGACTCTCTTTGTTATACAGTAACTAATCTGTGTTTAGAACAGTCCATTCATTGGGCCGGTGTGTGTGCCAAAGGTGTGTCAGGCAGTCGTGTCTTGTGTGTATACAGTATACCGGAGGTGTGTACTTTCGTGAGTGGGTGGGCGTCTCTGAAAAAGTCACAGAGCAACAGAACATGTGCTCACACTCTCTTTAATAGTGTGTTAATAGTTGTCTTAGTTTTATTCAAATAAAATTGTTCAGACATTTCTGTTTTCATTGTGTCCTACTTCCTTCTGCACTATTTACTTTAGTGAGAACTTTTTTCCATGCCACTTTTTTCCTAAGGAATAGAGATAGAAAGTAGGAGGAGCTGGACTGAGAAGTGTGCCTCTCTCTCTCTCTCTCTCTCTCTCACACTCTCTCTCACACACACTGCCTCTCTTCCATTCTGTCATTGCCATCTCGGCAGAACGGAGACTGTTCATTCTCAGCCACGCTGAATGTAATGGAGACAGTACACTTTTGACTTTGTTTTAGCCAGATTTCACAGAGGAATATTTGTTTTCTTCCAAGACAACCGAAGGAGAAAACACCAGGAAAAGAAAGTAAGGAAAAAAAGGATTGCAAGGATTTGTTCTTTTATTTTTTTTAAACTGAATTGAGAAACACGTGACAGCCGGTTTTGCCAGTGGATTCTTTATAGACGTGTGACATTTTCTTTCCTTGCTTTGCATATTAGTTTTACATTGAGAGAGTTTTCTGACACAAAGCACAATGGTTGCTGGAATGCTGATGCCCCTGCGGGACCTCAGGGCTATCTATGAGGTCCTCTTTCGAGATGGTGTCATGGTGGCCAAGAAGGATAAGAGGCCTCAGATCAAGCATCCTGAGGTACAAAGTGTGAGCAACCTACAAGTAATCCGTGCAATGGGGTCTCTTAAGTCCAGGGGCTATGTGAAGGAGACATTTGCCTGGAGACATTTCTACTGGTACCTGTCTAATGAGGGAATTGTTTACCTGCGCGACTACCTTCGCCTGCCCGCTGAGATTGTTCCGATGTCCCTGCAGAGGGTGAGGAAGCCAGCCACCACTCTATCCATTGCTCAGCGGGCTTCACGGGTCCAGTCTGTAGAAGGTCCCACGTCTTATGTTCCCAAGCCGGGACGAAGGGGTGAAGCAGAAAGCCAGGATGCACTGGCTGAGCGTCAAGGTTATCGCCATAAGATGATGGGCCCTGGTGAGAAAGAAAGCTACTCTGATAGGACCCCCAGGTTCAGGGGCCGTCCACTGGAATCAGTCAGACCAAAAGCATCATTGGAAGGGGAGGACCAGCCTCAGCCTCTATTCAGGAAAGGGAGCAGCTTCAGAGGTGAAGCTGTAATGGTGGAGGAGAGCAGGGTTAAAAGAGTCTTCCGTCAGCCGCCTGATGTGAGGAGTGAGAGGCCAGTTACAACATCACAGGAGAGAAGAGTGTTTGGGGTCCAAAAGGAAAAGGTCCCAAGTTCTGTTCCTGTCCAGACAGCAGCTTTGAAACACGATGTATCACAGACCACTCATATGACATCAGTGTCCTCCAAAGCAGCCCTACCATTAGATGTGTCTGCTGTCGCTGGCGGTACAGGTGGTGCAACATCAAAGATTCCAGCCGAATCCTTTACTCCCAAAACAAATAAGGAGAAGGCCAAGATCTCTGGTGAAACACGCCCCATAAACTCTAATGAAATGATCACAAGCCATTTATCCACCGGAGCACTTCCTGATGCAGAGGTCAAAGAAGAGAAGATTAAGAAGTTGATTGTGGATACAATTAAACCTGCAGAGGTCAAGGCTGAAGTGGCATCTGAAAAGCCACAAGAAGTTATGACAGTAGCTGCTGCTCAAGAAACCTCCAGTCTTCTAACTGACACTTGCACTGCTGCTCCAATCATTACAAAACCTGCTAATAAAGGTGTAAAAGACAAGAAGTCAGAAAAGGTGATTGTGCATCAAGTTAAACCTGCAGAGGTGAAGACTGCAATGGAACCTTCAACTGACAAAGTGAAGCCCCAGACAGTTACCACAAAGGCATCTGCTCAGGAAACATCCAAACCTCTTACTGCCACTGCCACCACCACCACCACCTCTGTCATCACAAAACCTGCTAATAAAGATGTAAAGAAAGAAAAGGCCCAGAAGCCAAATAGGAAGGAGGAATCAATTAAACATGAAGAGCCAAAGACGCTGGTGGAATCAAAGATCGATCATGAGAAGGCCAAGAAAACTTCCAGCGTAACCATTTCTTTAGAGACCAGCGAGCCAGTATTGTCCACTGATGCACCAAAGGAGATCTCCAAATTGATTGTGACCCAGGAGCCCATTGATTCTACCCTAACCTCAGTGAATCTCTCAGCAAAGCCTGAAACCGATGAAGTGGCCCTTAAAACAACCACACTAACCTCAATAGTTGAGGTTTCAACTACCATTAGTACATCAGCTCTCTCAGTGCCTTTGTCCAATGCTGAAGATGTACAACTAGTCAAGGGGGAAGCTACAGTGACAGAGGTTGTTACAAAAGAGGGGAAAATGGATGTAAAGGTGGTTCCTTATGTCATGAAAGGTGAGACCATAGTTATTGAGGAGGTCTCTAAAGTATCAGTACAGGATCCTATGTTGGCACAAAAAGACTCCTCATGCAAGTTCAGTCAAAATGTTGATGCCACAGGTGGAGTTAAGGAAACCCAACAAGTGGTTGAAGGAAGTTCCAAATCAAAAAGAAAGAAAAAGAAATCTCCAGGTGAGAATTCTAAGAGTGTCAACTCTCAGGAAGCACAGGACCCAAAAGTGGAGAAGGAAAAATCCTCTCAAGACAAGCCCCTGGTAGAGCCAGCAGAAAGTACCCCTAAACCCTCACAATCCCCAATGATTACTTTAGGGCCTGTTTGTAATGGTGTTCAGACTAAGGAGGCCTCACCTGTAGCGGAAAGTGAGGCTCAGGTTAAAATTAATGTGCAGAGGGAGCAATCAAAAGACATCCCAACAAATGCTGATGAGAAGGAGGAAGTCCCAAAGCAAACTGTCACTATTTCTGAAGCATCACTACCTGTTGGCCAGATCCCCACAGTGCCCCCAGTGGAGCTTCCAGGTGAAGCACAAGTAAAGGAAAAGGCTGCAGGAAGCAGTGTCACTAAGATCACACAGGGACCATTACGCTCCAAAGGCGAGTTAGATGGTAAATTGCTGCACATGGAGCCAGAGAAAAAGGAGGAAATAACCGTCAAAAAAGTTGAAACAGAGACTTTACAGAAAATAACCCGCGTGGAGTTTATACATGAAAGCTCCAGATCTGAAAAGAAAAGCTCTGCACTGCAGTCAGAATCTCACAAACCCATAGCTGAGACTAAATCCTCAGTGAGCACAGAGAGAGCTGCAGAGGAATCTTCAAAAGGTAAGAAGAAAGGGAAAGGGAAAAAGCAGGCTAAGACACCAGACACAGAGACTATAAACACAAAGCCTGTAGTTTTGCCTGATGCATTACCCTCCACTGACGTTACACCATTGCCCAAGGCCACAGTTAAAGACAGCCCTGTCATGGCCTCTGCACTGACAGAAACGAATGTTTCTACAAAGATGACTCCTGAAAGAATGTGCAGTGAGGAAGTCGGACAGGCAGCAGCTGTGCTCTCTGAGGCCCCAGCAGACAAAGGGGAGGTGGAGCCAGCACTGCTCTTTGCAGAAAAAATCAAGCGGGAGGTTCCAAAACCAAAAACATCCTCCACTGCGAGGGAAGCACCCACAGCCGGAGAGTTAGCGTCAGCAGCGCCAGCAGAGGCAGCTGTAGCTCAGACACAGGCCAGCCCCCTAGTCAAGCAAGAGGAGCCTCCCAGAGTTGCACAACATTTGGCCACTCAGACAGCAGAGCGCAGCACAGAGAAAAGGCTCTCTGTTTCTGAGGCCTTACAGCAGAAGGAAGAGAAGAAGAGGGACTTGAAGGACACACCCTCTGCCACTGCCACTCCCGCAGCTGCTAAACCTGAGCAACCTCACCTGGGTGACACCTGTGAGTCTGTAGGCCCTGACACAGACGAGGCCGCCATGAGGAAGAAAATAGTAGTAGTTGAGGAGATAGTTGAGGTCAAGAAGGTTGTCAGTCCTCAAGCAACTGGGGGAGACTCACCTTCACCTGTGCAACCTGAGCATCCTGAGGCACAAGGAGAGGAACTGGACTTGGATGTTTTGGAAGCTATCGCCATAGAGCGGGCGCTACTGTCGGGGGCAGCAGAGGCAAAGGTGCAGGGAGCCTCACCTGAGGCAGACTGGGACCACTCACTGGGGGAGCCAGAGGACAAGACTTGGCCTAACTTCATTGAAGGTTTGTTTGAGTGCATGCCAGTTAACCTACTTCCTGCCTTGTCCTACATTCTCTGTGCATGTGATCTAATTGATCCTGCACCCCACCTTTCTTGGATGTGTGGGAGGTCTTGGGTATGGCTATTTTGATGCATGCCGTACATTGTCATATACTTAAAATATTTATACTCCAAAGAACACACCTACATTGTAATTATCTCTGACTTCTGTTGTCTGGGGTGATTTGATTACAGTTTATGGCTCAAAGTTGCATGTTACAGATCACAGTTTCTATTTTGTGAAGAGGACTAGAGGCAGTTTCTTTTTAGGAAAGGTCTTAGTGAGATGGTGAGAAGAGTCCTTTGAGATCTAGCTGTGATTTAATTATCTGCGTGTTAAAATAGATGAAGTATCAGTAACAGTGCCATAGCACACCCCACTGTGTATTTGCGACACTGTCAGATTTCACACAGCCATTGTGACATGGATTCCTTCTCCACAGATAATTACAGGTGAAAGTTTTACTTTAAAAAAACAACATATATAGTTGTATGTATAAAAACTATACATCAATTTTAATAACAATTTAAAACCTCAACTCCAATTTTCCCCACAATCTACATGCATCAATGAAAGTATCAAAACCCCAAAATCTGACTTTTTGGGGTGGGGAATTCCTGTTCTGTTGGATAGTAAATTGAGTTATGCACACTGAGAGTTTGCCAAATGAGATTATGCAGACCTGCAGTCCAACAAGGTGGGGCTGTTTGCTGAGATTCAGCCTCGCCTGTTCCCTGTAGAGATAGTTGTGCGTTAGTGAAAGCCTGACTGACTGACAGAGAGGGAGGTGTGGTGCATTTGGAAGCATTTCTCCTCTTTGCTCCAGTAATACTATGTTCTTGGCATCAGTTTGTGTTATCTGGTGGTTCTCCTTTTCAGCCTGTCTTGTATATGAGATAAGCCTGCATACCATTATGTTATGGTATGCGTAGGATCTGGGAGTTATGTAGACAAAGTGAGAACATAACTGTATGCAGGGCAGCCTTCTTCTGTTGGATCTGGAAAATAACAGTTGCTGAAAGTACAGAGAAAGATGCCATGTGATGCATGTGGTCGGTCCTGCTGAAGTGAAACTGTCATTTGCTCATATTGAATCATGATACTGAAGTATTTTCATGTGACTTCATTTTGCATGATGTCTAATATTTCACAATGCTCATAAGCAAATTAAGATGTTTTGGCTGCTATGATTATTTTTGTATCCCTAAGAGACAGGGTGTCTAAGGACTACACATGGGCGTTGCCTGCTGTGGGTGTGAGCTATGGACAAAGAGTCAGGAAGTTGGAATAGCTTGCTCACAACTCTATGGGTGTGTTTGTTTGGACCCACACGTGATAGGAGATCTGGATTCAATTAGCAGCCTGGATTCTTACTTCAATCTGTGGTGCTCATCGTCCCCTTTTAACAGTCACATGAATGTGATGTGACTCATACATATGGTAAACCACATGTGCTATTCAACTTAACAGATATGGATACAGCAGTACCACGAGGACACCACTGTGTTTGCTGACCCACTGCTGACATCTGCTGTCCATTGACCACCACTGTCTGACTCATAGGCCAAATGCTACCATTGCAGTCAGAAGTGTTTCGATAAAATTTAAAGACACACATATTTCACATGATATAATAGACAGAGCTTGTTTTCTTTTTCGATGTCAAGCTTTCCATTAGTCAGGTTGCGCAATGCTGCCAAAACTGTACTCATTAATTTTACCTGAGATTGGACGAGTAGTGTTAGATAAATCTGTCTGTTTCACAGACATTGTGTGTAAGTGCTGTTATTGTACTGACTGTGGTATTCTCGGTATGCAGCAAATTAAATAGCTGTCAGCAGAATCAGTTATACCCTTGAGATATAACTGCCGTCAAGTATATGTACTACTGAGCAGTTTTTCTATTGCATTGTGTCCGTCATGTGGAAACCAGCAAGAGGGAAAGTATTTAAAAAACAACTTGTGCTACCTGGGTGTTGCTTTCAAAACAAGGACTCTTTAAGCTGGTTTGGAATTCAAGGGAATACTTTGTATTTCGTGTGGCACTTTTGATTTTGTGTTGAATGGAGGGTGCTGTATGTATTGTGCAGTTGTGTAGAAGCTGGTTGAGAGTCTGTTTGAAAGCTGCCCACTCGTGGCACAAAGGCCAGTTATACTCCCAGACATGCCACTGAGGTCCTCCATGTTTTGATCTCTAAAATCATGCCCATGCATTCTTGCATGGTTGGATAAATGAGCAGCTACAGTTTGCTACAGATCTGTGCCTTTCATTATGGTGGCACATCATTTTGATGTCATGACTCACTCGGGCTCGAGTTATGAGCCTGACCTTTTTCAGCAGAGAAAGAAAAGAATGGGGAACATAATGGACGCTCAAAGTCATTCTGTCCTTCAGTAGACTGTGTTGAGAGTTGGCAGCGTAGGTACAGTTGTGACAATGGGAGGGAGTTGATACAAGAGTCAGTGCTGAAAATACAGAAATAATCAGAATGAAACTTGATAGAGACATCACTTCTATGATATCGGTCCAAAACAGTTAACGTGAAAATCTCCGTGGCCTCGGTGAAACTTATAGTACTGTAATGTGCACCGTGATTACACAGTGTAATGAGCAACCAAAACAAAATCCTCTCCCATGAGCCATTTGCGTGTGATCTTCCAACATTTAGTTGCCAGTTGGAACTGCCGTGTTGGCGAGCACACTGTTTAATATCAAATTTAATGGCAGGTAATTGTAACATCATTAGCAGAGTCTGTCGCAGCAACAGTCCCCAACCAATATGCCACTGATGACATTGACCTACGAAGTTGTCCCTGCCTCATTGTGGGCACATTTGCTATATTAAAGCGTCCATTATGGGCAGTGAACACAGGTCATTTCTGCTAACTATGACACACCATAAAAGAAAAACAGGAATGGGTGATGGTGGGAATATTTGCATGTGTAAAAAAAGGGTCTGAAAATCTTATGTCGTGTCAAATGTTACACCAATGTATTCCAAGCTCAGCTAATGTTACTGTGAGATTACTGGAGATTTAAATAAGATAAGATATGAACCCACAGCCTCTTGTGATTTATGACTTTACACTGTGCGTTGATTTATGACGTAACAAGAAATGTATCAGTATTTTTTGCCTACAGTGCTTTTGATGCTTCAAATATACTTAAATGTGAAGTAAAGGACCATTTGATTAAAATCCAATCCATGCTGGAGAGTGACTCATTGAACATGGTAAAGTGAACATGGCCGCAGTGAGGCAGTGGCAGTTTCATTTGTCACCAATATGTGTGGCAAATTTGTTGGTTCGGAAATTGTGACCGGGTCATTTCACAAAAATCTAAGAGCGAGAGCGGAAATGAGAGAGCAGACGTTTTGTAGGTGCAACGAAGCAGCCTGAGACCGACTTTAACTGAAGCAACAGTAGATAGGTTAACCAGTTTTGAACAGGAGCAGAGCAATGTTCTCATGACTCTTTCAGAGAGAAAGAGGGCAGGGGAAAACATTACTAAATTGTAATAAATATTTATTTCAGAAATGAAAGACTACTGTTGAATTAACACACTTCAGGCCAAACCCTGGAAACTGAGACATTGATCCCATGTGGAAGATATTGAGTTTGGCCAAGATGGTTATGATGTTAGTCATTTCCCAAGGTACATGTGGAGCCTTATTACAGACGATGACTAACATGACTTCAACATTAGAGGATTTTTTCTTTTTTCAAGATTAAGCCTCCACATGTTCAGTATTCTGTAGGGTCCATTTATCCTTATTTTACAGCTAATCAAAGTGTTTGACTTTTACGTTTGACCCTTATTTATGCTGCAATTTCTCAAGAGACACTTCAGCACCTGCTTATTTAAGATCAGTTATTACAGAAGTGTGAACAAAATGGAGCTTCTGCACTTTATAGGTCTAGATTGAGACGAGATGTATTTCCCCATAGGCACAAGCTTAGAATACCTTTCGGCTGTGTGTCCTAACATGAATGATATGCACATGAGGCGCCTGTTGAGCAAAGAAGTTCATGAAGGCACATGAGGATGTATATGGAGGTATTCCCTTATGATCCTCTGTAAATCCTCCTCCATGGTTTCTGGGTATAGTTGCCTTCATCTGTGCGCATCTTATCCATCTATACCGTCCATGTTTCATGAGGGAAGACAATCCCTGGCTCTGCTCTCCACACACTCAGTGGAATGGCTTTTAGCATTACTGAGAAACAGGGCCAGTTGTCAACACTACAATTGACCAAGCCATATGCTTATATTCGAAGTTGCTATATTTAGATATTGTTGTGCATTGCGTTGATCCCTAAAGCAACAGGGGATGAGCACTGGAAGCTACGGTCATTCTCTCCATCTGTCCATCACTAATTTTGAAAATGCTGATGGACGTTTAGTGTGGAGCAATCAGATTTTTGTAAATATTCCACTCTGTTTTTATATTTACTCACTTTGTTGCTATTTCTGTCCACTGACTGTTACCACCTGTGCTTTTTCCCATTAATACCAATGAGCACATCCAGTTTAATCCATATTATTTAAAGTTTAAACGTCAGACTTTAAGTGTCGATCTTATTATAGTTGATGTGTCATATGACTTTTCTAGAAGAGCAGGAATTAGAAGTGCCATGAGTTACAAATAGAAAAAAGCTAAACATTTAAACTGTAAAGATGTGTTTCTTCTCTGACTGTATTTCTATGTTTTACAATCATTTAGAAAGCCATGCTTCTTGTGCTGTGGTCGTGAAGAGTCTACTTTTATGAGTGCTGACAATATTATGTCCCAATGATGAATGTCTCATATGTTGATCATGTTGTAACCCAGAGGAATCAGACACTTGAGATCTTTCTTTTTTTCTGGCTGAGAGATGTGACATAATATCACAGAATAAACCTGCCAGCAGTATCATATAAGAGAGAGAGAGAGAGCAGAAGAGAGAGGGAGAGAGAGGGAG